CTTCCAGCACCTAGATTTTGTTTCTCTTTAGCTATTCAGATGCCAATTTGCTCATTTGGTTGAGAATATTGTCATGTTGCATGACCCACTTTCGGCCCAGCTTAAGTAGCTGGACAGATGGCCTCACTTTTGTCTCATTGTGTTATAAAGTGTAGTTCACAGTTATCTTAATGACTGGAGGTTTACCAGGTCCTGTGCCTGCAAAACAAGCCCAGATCATCACTCCTCCACCATCATGTTTGACTTAGTTATGGGGTGCTTATGGTTATATGCTGTGTTTGGTTTTCTCCAAACAGGACACTGTGCAGGTGGCAGCTGTCTGGAAGGTTCTCTCTTTATAAACAATCTGAATGGTGGATTTCAAAGTTTGTAAATGGCCTTGTAGCCCCTCCTGGTCTGATTAGCAGTGCTAATTTCTTCTCTGGAGTCATGGCTCATGTCCTTTTATCTTGGCGTGATGTAGACACACACCTCAGTGCTCCAGAATACCCAACTGCCCAAACCTCTGCTTTTATAGAGGTTTTTTTATTGACTAATCCTGTGCATTAGTAACACATGGCTGCTGATTACTCTCACTGATTGTGAAAGTAGGAAGGGTATACTCACTTGGTTTACTTTTGGGAAACAGTAAAAATGGTATGTAGCACTTGAACATGCTCTGGTACCCTCCTCAGATCTACCATCCAGATCAATATCCCACTGTGGAGTTGTATACTTTTGATACTGTTTATACTACTAAAACTGTGCAGTGTCATCTGGAAAGAAAAGGGGGCTGAGCCAGTGTCAGCATCTGGTTCTCTTTTCAGGAAATGTCTCACTCTAAAACTATTTTCTAGGAAGCTGACCATGGCTGCGATCATATCAACTCTGGCTGCTTTCAATAGCTATGGGACTACATCTACAGACCCAGGGTAAGACTGAGCCTACAGCTGACACATACATACCTTGATAGTTCGTACTTTATGTGGCTGAGATCACACTGTCAAAAAGTTTGGGATGCATCTGTTGGTCTGTGCTTCATTCTAGTAGGAAATGTTATTAGCAGCTGGTTACACTTTTCAGTTTAGAACTTGATGTATTTTGCCAAAACATTAAAATTGCGAACACGTTTTCCTAAATTTGGCAGCATGATTATTTTAATTCTGTCCCGTTCTTTTGTCTGAAGGCCCCAAGAAGTAACACTCAGGAAACAGGAATCAGCTTTAAGTAGATTTAATTTCTTCTGGTTA